CCCCAAAACCCCAAAACCCCAAAACCCCGAAGTACGATTTGATAACTGAATTTATCTAGAGTATTTAAATATGGCTAATACAGGCATCTGAATGAGCAAGTCACCTTGGTACCCACTCCTTCCTTGGACTCCAGACATATTTTGCCGCCCAACTTCTCACAGAGCCTCTTGCAGATGGTAAGGCCAAGTCCAGTCCCAGTCTTATTCCTGTTGTGGTTAGAACTGGTCTTGCCGAACAAGGTGAACAGAGAAGGCAGGTCTTTTTTAGGGATGCCAATGCCTGTGTCGATGACAATCAAGTCGACCCTGAGTTCTTTCGAGAACTTAGAAGTTGCAGACTCATCTACTTGCTTTTGTCTGGTCTTTCCAGTCCCTACATTTTCATACATATTTTCGCTAAGTTGGATGCCAAATTTAGAAGAATTTGGAGAGAAGTTATATTTGTCTGTCACAAGAAGAAGATGGCACACTGGTGCTTCTTCTTGTAATTCTTGGTCAAATGCATCTGAAATATTTCCTAAAGATTAATAGAAAAATACTCTCTCTGATTTGATTTGGGCTGATCTCTCGAAGTTCTTGGATCTTCAACTCGACTTTGATAGACCCATTGTCTGTGAATTTAAGTGAATTTGATAACAAGTTCATTAAAATCTGTTTGAGTCTGTCTTTATCAGTCTTAACCTTCAGTTCCTGGAAAGTCTCTTGCATCTCAAACTTCAGACCGATTCTTTTCATACGTGTCTGCATCTCAAAGATTGTATTTACTTCATCAAAAAGCTGTTTGAATGTGAACTCTGTGTCCTGGATTTCGAACACTCCGGCTTCGATCTTGGAGAAATCTAAGATATCTTCAACAAGGCCTCTCAGGATATCGCATGAAGAAGAAGCTATCTGGTGATATTTAGCCCAAGCTTCGCTGATATGAGCTTTCATCAAGTGCAGAGACAGCGACATCGCATTCAGAGGAGTCCTGAACTCATGCGACACATTGGAAAGCATCTGTCGTTGATAGTTGCTTTGAGCCTTTGCTTCTTCTAGTTGAGAAATTTGGGTGGTATCTATGAACATTTGAAGAAAGGTTGCACCTCTGTCAAGACCATTTACAACATCAATTTTGGAAGTCTTGATAACGAAGTCTTTCTTCAAGTGATCTGCATCTTGATGGAAGTGTCTCCTCTCATAAGAAATGGATGCTTTGATACTTCTCTCATTGTCTGGTTCATTATGACAAAGTTTTCTTTCTTGCTGGAGAAAATCTCACAAAGGAATGTGTTCACAATCTCCAACTTGAACATCTGGGTCACCTCCTTTACCTTCTTCAACTCTCTGCTTTTGTGTCTTGACAACGAAGTTGCTCAGGATACTGTCAATAAATATTTGGGAGTCTTCTTGTATCAGGTCGTCTGCAGCTGACCTCTTATAAATTCTCTTGATTGTTTCATCTATTTCCTGTTTTACCTTAACCAAATCTTCATTCTCTCTTTGGATATCAAGGAAAGAGGAAATGTCAAATGTCTGTTTGAGCTTCTTGTTTATAAACTTCAAGTCATCCCCTTGCTCGTTCATGATGGTGACTCCTTCAGGAAGCCCTTCCAAGATCTTCTTCAGTTGGAAAGAAGCTTGTTTGGCCCTGTGAGTCGACAAGAACTCCTGTTTGAAGTTCCTTGAGATCAAGAAAGCGTTGAACCCAAAAATAGCACATGCACAACAGAGAGCGTAGATTGCTAAAATTGGAATAGGACCAAAATAAATCCTAAGCCAAACGTACAAATTCATGTACAACACCAGTATAGCTGCTGAGGATAGTATCCAGTTTGATATCAAACAAGTCGACAGCAAGAATGACACAGCAATATGAACTAAGAATCCTTCGTGGAGTCTATTAAAATATCAGCAAATTAAAATTGGCAAATCTGAAAAAAATTGTATGAAAGTTTTTAATTAGTAGCGAATGCAAAATTGGTACAATTGGATACATTTTTATAATTATTGATAAAGATGCTATCAAAAGCATAGACTGACCAGCCAAAAGAAATTGAAGAGTTTTAGTAATCTTACCTAAATTTGACGAACTCGAGGTTAGACTGAGTCATTATGAGGCCAAGCATTACAATGTATAAGATTGCTCCATACTTTGAGACAAACTTGAACTTTTCAATTAAGTATTCAAGAAAAAAGAGGAAGAGAATTCCTCCAATAGGAGAGATTCTTTCATACAGTGGCATATGCTCTTCTTGGAATTGGAATAAAATTGATACTGCTCAAGACTCGATTTTTAGAACGAACATAATGAACTTCCAATTCACCTGATTCGTTTTGAATCGATGTTCTTGATACATTTCTTCAATTTCAGGATCTTCAAAGTCAATATTTTCGAAGGCCCATTTGCTCTGGAGTTCTTTGAAGAACCAGTTGTTCAGAATGGAATCACTATCATAACCGGTGGCAGGCTTATTCTCTATTTTGATATTTTCCATTATTTATTATAATATAAATAATATCAACTGTTCTTAAAGTGCACGGGGTTTTGGGGTTTTGGGGTTTTGGGGTTTTGGGG